TTGAAGACTAATTAACTTCTTTAGATCATTAAAACTTTTAGAGTGTTCTAGGTTCCAAGCCCATTTTTCTTTGTTGACAATCTTATAAAGAGGATCAGCAATTTCCGCAAAATTGTTCAAAAATTTTCTATAGTAGCCAGCCATTCCCAGAAATGTTGATAATTCAGCAGCTGATTTTGGTTCTGGCATATTAATTATTGCTTCAATTTTGTCGTGATTAGCATGAATCCCCTTAGCGTCAATATCATGGCCCAGGAACCACTTTGTTTTTAAAGAACACACTTTTATTAAAGTTAGGTATTAGCCCATGCGATGATATTCTATCAAATACTTTTTTTATGTTGTTCAGGTGGGCTTCATCGTTTTTTCCAGTTATAAGTAAATCATCAATATAAAATATAACGTCATCCATATCACCGAAAATTTGATCCATGATCTGTTGAAAAATTGCAGATGAGGTCTTAAGCCCAAAAGGAAGTCTAGTAAATTGGTAATATCCCTTATGCGTAGATATGGTTAAAATATTTCTGCAACTTTTATCAATTGGTATCTGTAAGAAAGCATTTTTAAAGTCAATCTTTGTAAATTTCTTTACTTCCGAAAGTTTAGCAATTAAATCATTGATTCGTGGTAGAGGGAATCTAAAATCTTCCAGAGCTGGGTTTACAGTGTCCTTAAAATCAGCGCAAAGCCTAATGCTCCCATCATCTTTGTAGACAGCGGTAACAGGACTTGCCCATCGGACATCATTCACCGGCTCAATAATTTTATCTGAAGAGATTCATGTAAATGGTGCAGGTAAATAAAAAATATATTTTATTAACTTTATTATATATATCTATATTTTTCATTTCACACTTCGTTTATATACATTTTTTATAAGTCCAAATTAGAATACAAACGAAATACAAAAAAAAGTAAAATAATATAAAAAAAAGTAAGGTTACGCCGTTTATAAAATAAAATTAGATTATAACAAATACTAAAAAATTAGATTATAAAAAATTCAAAAACATACAAAAACAAAAAGTATTTAACGCAACAGCGGGTATGACTAAATGCTGCATTGTTAAAATGCATTGTTAAATAGCAGTTAATCATGATCAATCAGAATTTTATCATATAATCTATTTTTTTATAATAAATTTTCGGAAACATTTCTTTTATAATATACATAAAATAATTTATAATTCTATTTTTAATTAATATTTAATGGTGGAAAAAAGGAAGTATTTAGTAGCTTAATACAGTCTAAAATTTATTTTTAGATTTTAAAAATTTAACAAATATATATCCATAAGAGGGCGTTAAATGCATAATACAAAATGATTATTGGTTAGCGCTTTTGGGTGTAAATACATGTGGCAAACCTAAAAATTTTTTTTTAAAAAGGATAGATTTCTTGTTATTTAATTTATTAGTAGAGTAGGTTTAGAAAGTAGTGAAGTAATAGAAAATTTGTAAGGCACATATTGCTGGCGTTATTAATCAAAATCTCTTCATTTTTATTTTATACGCGTAAATTTTACGTGTTAAGCCTTATCTTAAAAACATATTTTGAAAATATTTTGATTTGACCGAATGCCGAGCTCAAAACCGACCACTTATTAAATATTCGATTGCCCAAATTTGCTAGTAATATCAATTGAAAAATGTTTGTTTCTAATGTCATATCTAACAATGATTGGTATCAAACAATTTATGCTTATGCCTTTATGTTCTAATTTATTAAATATCAAATTAATCCAATGAATCATTTCATATTAAATAATTTACTCTTGTTGTCATATTTAACACTGATTGTTATTATACAATTTTAGCCTGGTGTCATATATAATACCTATACTTATATTTTATTAGAAATTATATTATTTACCTTTAAAAGCAGGAATTAAGTCATGCAAAATACTTAGTAATTCAAGCTTCTTTCATCATCAAGAAAGTTTATAGATCACTAAAATTATATGCTAGCAAAATGTATTACAATATTATTTAGTTCTATATTTATCATAAAATAATGCACATGAGATTGAGGTTTCATTGTATTTCCATTTTATATCCAAAATTACTTGTCATAAGTTGTTTTTATTAATAAGGATCGTTCAAAGGAAATTTAGTCAGGTCATCTTCAATAAATATAAAGTTATGTCATATATAATCCCAACTCAGTTTATAATTATATTTATTCAAGTATTATAACATATATTTAAGTAAAAGTAGCATTAATATATGTAAAAATATTTAAAAAAAAAATTTATATGCTATTTTTCAGATATTTATCGGTTATCAAAGTGGTTAAGTAAGGAGGTCGTTCATATTTTTTTTTTTTGTTTTTCTCAAATATAATTAACTTTACCCTCTACGATATATGTATATCAATATATATTTTTAAAAAAATACCTGAAAATTATTTTAATATTTTATAACCAGATATAATTATGTTGTTTTTATATCAAGTCTAAAAAAAACTGAATGTGCGAAGCATACAGCTTTTAAAAGCAGAAAATTTGATTTCTCCCCCTTCCTAAAATGCTTTTACAAAAAAATACAATCAAATTCATTATCTGATAGGATCTAAAAAAAATGCCATAAAACAATTTAAAACATAATTCTCTAAGAAACCCTTTTGGCAAATGAATTTTATTTATTGCAAACCCTATTAATTTTGTTACAAGACAAGCTTTGTTATGAACAATATTTTAATAAAAACACAAAATGATAAAATAAAAAATTTTATATACTAAAAAACCATAGTAATAGCCATGATCAAAATGGTAGAATCTTTTAGAATTCCTTAAAATTTGTCCCAAATTATAAAGTAAAAATAAATTTATAATAGCTGATTATAGAAGCCAGCTACTTCAAATATATATAAAATAAACATCTTGAATCCAAAACATTATTGATTCGGAATATTAAAGAAGGGTGTTCATTATTATTTTTGAAATATTAAAACAAAGACAATATATCACTCTGAGATCCCTTTGAGCACTGGATCTTAAAACACAATTGAGATATATATATGCTTAATCTCATATAAGATTCTTCTAACATTTCTTAGCACTTTTTATCGATTGAACATAATTAAACAACGATTAAATCTAATCGATGACAATAGTATAAAATCAAAGCTGTGTTTTTGGGCTTCATAATTAAAGCCTATCACTCAATCGATCCTTTCACTCATGTTCGAAATACTATCGTAGCTATACCCAACTAGAAATTCTAAGTTTGCCCATAATATTATTTTTATTATCAACCCCAATCGTATTCCCCGTACAATGTATATGTCAAAGAAATAATAAGATGAAAATAAAATCAGCTGACCTAAACGTTAAACAAAAAGTTATAAAAAATACAAATTATTTTAAGTTAATTGGTATAATATTATGATAAAAAGTATTCAAAAAAAATTATCTTAACCTTATGATGCCTAAGAATAAAACAACGTTAGGTATTAACATCCGAAATTAATCAACAATGTTAAATACAATTAACGAAATAAAAGGTAAGACGAAAAATGAAATTAGCTAAGTTATTTCGGTCAAAATTAGGAATATAGGTTAATATTAAAGCAAAAATAACTTTAAAGAAAATGAAAGAGAATGGTTATTCGAGGTAATTTCATCCGGTTAGGGGTCTGCAAAGTAATTTTTTTCGCAGCCCAGACCAAAATTGCCGGGTCTGGCTACGGGCAGCCCATGCAGGTTTCTCCATCCGGTATAGTTAGCGTGGAAAAGTTAAATTGATAAAACTTTTTAAATAAATAAATAAAATTAAAAAATAATTTAAAAAAAAATTCATCCTATGGCTGCACATACGGTCCCAATCTTAAAAAAAGATTGGTTCCCGAAAAAGATGAACAGGGAATCTTCAACTGAACAATATACTCTACTTAGGAAAATTGAAGAAATATTAGCAACCATTGAAGGTACTTTACGATTCTCGATTTACTTAATACCTACCATCAAATCGAATTGGATGAAGACTCTAGGAGATACGTGGTGTTCAACACTTCCTAATGAATTATTGGAATTGAGATGCAATAAAGAAAAGCACCGAAGCCAAAAAAAAGAGTTTTAAAGTTTTTTTAAGGGTTAATAAATTACAATCATTAATAAAATAAAGAATGGAAATGATGTGAGATAGGGTAGGAGAAAGGGAGGTTGCTAAAAACAACAATCATACAGGCACCAATATTGGTTACACTATAATACAAAGATGGTCTTCACGTTAGCAACGAACGCTTCAAACTATGGAATATCGGTGCAGTATTATATCAATTTATTTCATTGGATAGTGATAAACCAATCGTGTTCGCTTCAAGAACGATATCGACTGCTGAAGAAAAATATCCTATAGAATTGTGGAAAACAGAAACCTTATTAATAATTTAAAATATTTTTAATAACTTCAAGGGAATTGGAATTTAAATTTGAAAAAAAAAACATATTTCAGATGTCGTTTTTAAGACCTATTTTTTTTTAGACAAGGGTTGTGATGGTGTTAGGAAACTCATTGGTAGTTAATTGTAGCAAAATTTTGGGAAGGAAAGAACCTCAAATAACTCTCACGTGAAGAGCCATATATCAGGAATTTAGGAAAGAGTGATCATGTTCTTAAAATTAAGAAATTATAACAAATAATGTCACGTGTTTCCTAAAATGAACCCCTTTTTTTAGGATTAGCTGAACATTCTAAGGAAATATCTGTCCTATTTTATATTACCTGGCCGAGGATTTAATATAAAAACCCTGGCCGGGCCAAAATATTATTAAAAATAAATCCGTGCCGTGCAAATGGACTTCTGCAGGTCTCTGTTTTGTTAATAGTTTAAATACGGATAGATAAATTTAAAATATTATCAAATACATTAAAAAATTCTAAAAAGATTTAAAGTTTATTATGATTTTGTTAAAATTTCCAATTTAATATGAATTTTATGGGTACATTTAATTTTTTTATATTTAAAAAAAACTGTATTTTGTTTTGTAAAATCCCCCAACACCAATTTATACAAACTTTTGATGATTAATTTAGATATTCATTATCAAACCAAATCAATCTAATGTATCTTTTTTGATTACCAATTCGCTAAAGTAATAAAGAATAAAACATTATTGATTTTTTTGAGAAAATTATTATAGATCTATATTCTTTCTTTCTTTCTTTCTTTCTTTCTTTCTTTCTTTCTTTCTTTCTTTCTTTCTTTCTTTTCTTTTCTTTTCTTTTCTTTTCTTTTCTTTTCTTTTCTTTTCTTTTCTTTTCTTTTCTTTTCTTTTCTTTTCTTTTCTTTTCTTTTCTTTTCTTTTCTTTTCTTCTTTTCTTTCTTTTCTATTCTATTCTATTCTATTCTATTCTATTCTATTCTATTCTATTCTATTCTATTCTATTCTATTCTATTCTATTCTATTCTATTCTATTCTATTCTATTCTATTCTATTCTATTCTATTCTATTCTATTCTATTCTATTCTATTCTATTCTATTCTATTCTATTCTATTCTATTCTATTCTATTCTATTCTATTCTATTCTATTCTATTCTATTCTATTCTATTCTATTCTATTCTATTCTATTCTATTCTATTCTATTCTATTCTATTCTATTCTATTCTATTCTATTCTATTCTATTCTATTCTATTCTATTCTATTCTATCCTATTCTATCCTATTCTATTCTATTCTATTCTATTCTATTCTATTCTATTCTATTCTATTCTATTCTATTCTATTCTATTCTATTCTATTCTATTGTATTCTATCCTATCCTATTCTTTTCTTTTCTTTTCTTTTCTTTTCTTTTCTTTTCTTTCTTTTCTTTTCTTTCGCTTTCTTACCAATCCCTTTAACGCAAAGATGGAGCCTTTGTTGTCAATTTCGTATCTTTTATTGACAGTATTGTCATTTAAATCGGTATCTGTTTGGTTGATCATTTGGCTGATGTCAAGATTCTTCTCATCCTCGGGCAAATGGAAAGGTGTAATTCTCAATTTGATAAAATCTTTAAAATATATATATATTTTTTAAAAAATATATGTTTTATCTCCACAGTAAATAGAATGTAATGTTCTAACTACTTCAGATATATTTTAATGAATTGTCATTTGTAAAATTATTATCCTATATTTGGTAAAGAAAAAAAATTATTAAAATTTAAAATAAAATATTTGGCAACTATCATTAAAAAATAATATCCATTTATACTCAACACATATATCTAGGACATATTAATAAAATTGATACTCGTCTCATTCAATACTAAATTTGCCTAGTAGATCCACATTACCCTGGGTAATTAGGAGATAATTATATTTAACTCTTCTAGTGTGGGGTTAAACGGCACGTTTTGAGCCGACTTTTAAAAACGACTAACTCAATATTTTCGCCAGAAAAAATGTTGTCTAAGTCACAAGATTTCGATAACATATGTTCTAGACCTTTGTCTCTTCTACGAGCTAAATCTTCAGGCTACCCTTATATTATATTGGATAAAGTATTGAGTTAGCCGTTTTTAAAAATTGGCTCAAAATGAGCCGGTAAACAACATTAAACTCTTCGTGTGTTATTTGGACTAAAAAAATATGGCCAATTTTTTTGGACAACTACACTATTATTCTACCTACCGATGATAGTTTAACTCTTTTAGCGGATTCTCAGATCATTCAGAAATCATATGTTTATAGAAGGAAATCCAACAATATGAAGGTTTTTTTTATTCTTAAAAAGCAATATCTATAAAAGTATTTGTGTTACAAAAAAAAATTATAGTAAATATTTTTCGAGATTATAGTTACCAGATTTTTATTATCAAAATTTCGATCTAACCAAGTTTCCAGGAAATATCTATCTAGAAATATTAAATCTAACAAATTGCTGAGGATTGATGATCAGGATATAAGTAAAATAAAGAAGACGACACAGAAAAAAACAACAATGACAAATGACAGAGCTTTCTAAAGAATTCGGATCGAACTCGGAGAGCGTAACACGTCATAAGCGTTAAACCTTTCCCGCCAATTCTATTATAACAAATTCATTGCCGCGAAAAAACAATATGTTAAATCAATTACAGTGAACGCATTACCGCCAAAAAACTTTTTCTTACTTTGTAATAAAAGAGTTCAGCAAATAAACTAAATTTTTTTTATTTAAAATCAAATATTTCGAAAAAATAGTTTCCCTAGAGTGCCAAACCAATTTAATAGAAGCATATATATTAGGGTAAATTTAAACAATTCTCCCGATATTGCAATTAATAGTTGATAACGATTCACGTTCACTATAATAATAATGATAATGTTATAATTATAATGAGGATCCCTAGCATCGCTTGCTTAGTGGTTTTCAGGGAGACCTACTTTACAATTCATAGGGAAAACTTACTGGAACACAGCACATTATATTTAGACATAGCGTTATCTTCCAAGAATATGTGTTAATTGGACGTAGACTTATCTTTCTTTTCTTAAATAATCTAACCAGGCGTCAGGTAAATTATTAAAAATATTGTTATCGCTGTATTATTACGTGGCCTGATTTAAACAGTGGGACCGTCCACTATAATAGAATGGGTACAAAACATGTATAGGATCTATATAATAGTGAATATATAGCCCGCTACAACTCCTGGTTACTCTGTCGTATGGATGGATCAATTTTAAACAAAATTTTGATAACAGATATAATCGCAACTTTTACATTAAAAATAAAAATTTCAACAACAATAATTTTAGAAATTAAAACGATGAACAACTTGGACAACAAGCTCTCAACTATGACTTCCATCAAATTTTACTCGAAAGCTTTTTAGAAGAGGGAGAATGTTATATACTAGAAATATAAGTCAAAATATTGTTTTAAATATATGTTTGTTCATTAAATAGTATTTAAAACCTTTAAATTTTAATTTCGTTATTTCAATTTTAACAATTCGTATATATTCACAATTTAATTTGCACATTATAAAGAGAAGATAAAGAAACCTTGTAATATTATTTTATACCTTTTATTTTGAGATTAATCTTGTTGTTATTTTATATTTAACTTAGCCTTTAAAAAAATATTAACATATAATATATCGATATCGAAATAAGATTATATTTTAACTATATCCTAAGAGATCGAAAAATAAATTTATTTTAAGTTTGACAATTTTCGATAATGTTAATTTCAACGCATTCGCAAATAATATATGCGCGATAATGCTTTCGCAGTAATATACTGTTAATGTATTCTATATAATACATGTCTAATTGCATTCAGTATAATATTTTAGCTGTAATATATTCACGCTAATGCCATCGCGATATTTAATCACGCGATATTATATTCGTGGTTATTGGATTGGCAAAATAATCTTTAGCGTTAATAGACATTCGCGGTAGTGCATAGGCCAAAATGCATCTAATAAAAATTTTACGATTGGTATCTAACCCTCAGAGACTTGGCAGAGGTACCATTTGCAAGGTCCGACTCAGCCTTTCTTTCTTTCTTTCTTTCTTTCTTTCTTTCTCTTCTACCATGCCCGGGATTTATATTTTCGGGTCCAGTTCAAAGTTCTCATAGTATTTTTTTTTTGTTTTTTTTTTGTTATCTATAAGAATTAAATTTTTTTTAAAAATATTTTACGAAATCCATCTTCGCCCTGGCATTGTTCGTAATATATTTGTAGAGTTCCGTTACAATTTTCAAACATGATGCCATCTTTATCCTTGGTTCCATCTAGGTGTTCTTGATACCATCGATAAAATAAAAATGTAAAGGTTAACTTGGAAAGAAATATATATTAAATTTGTACTTCCCCAGGATTCTCATTTTTAATGTCCGATATATAATATGGCAAATATAGTAACTATCCCTTATTATTCTCATTTTATTTCCATTGTCCTTAGCTGTGCTTTGATTCGACTTATTCACAAAAATTTCTGTTTAGATGATGATTTTATTTAAAAAATAGACCAGGATAACCCTTTTCTTAAGTCTTTTAAGTGCATACTAGTTTTTATTTTTAAAAAAAATCTATATTTAACCCTAAATAAAGTGATAATCAAGATAACGTTTTAAGTAACAAAAATGTAATTCTTAATTAGAAACATTGATTTTTAAGTAAACCTTTTCTTTTTATTATTGATTATAGGAAGCTAAATAGACTTGTAAATAGAATTTTGTTTATAAATAAGAGGAGACTTATCGGGAAATAAAAAAAGAATTCATTTAATAATGAAAAACAATTGTAAAATTAATAAGATTATTACAATAATAAATAGTTAAAAATTAGGGCTTTTATTAAAATGGCATAATTCTTACAATTTTAGTAAAATTATTTCTGGTATGCATAACTGATATATTTTTTTTATATTATTAATAGGAATGAAATGTCCTTTAAATTAATCAATTATTTTTGTTAGTCATTAATAATTATATTCATACCGTATAAGATCTGTACGCGTTTGTCAGTTATTCGTCTTTCTTCCACTTCGTCATTGTAAATCGTTTTGATTACACAACCTTTGTAAGATTTAATTAGAAAATATAAAATAATTAAAATAAATAACTTATAAATTAACTGATTTAGTGAAGGTTAGCGGTTTCTCGGGTTTGACTACTGTTTGGGTTAAAACTTGATACCTTTTTTCCAAGTAGATTGAAAACGATTCAATATATATATATATACTATTTAAACCAACACTTTTATTGATTTATTATTTATTTTTACATATTTTTTTCCAACGACAACGTTTAAAACTAGAATCTAAGCTTTTTGAAATGTTGGGTGAATATGGTTAAGAAATAATATTTGTTTATTTTAAGGATTATTTTGATTATAACCAAATGTATCATGTTATATTATTATCCTTTCCACTGCAGTTTTTTTAACTATTAGGAAATTCTTTTTACGTTTATTATGATGGCTGACAACATATGGGTTTTCACTATTATATCGCTAGCTATTTTTGGAGTAACTCTAAACTTGATTTCAATTGTTTTGCACTGTTTCTTCCAGACCTCATTCACGGACAGACTATTATCTTTTATCTTTCTACTTCCTGAAAGATCTGGGATGTATTCTAAATGCACACATGATTATTTTGTATCATAACCAGTTAAACAATGACGTGTGAATGCAATGCGTTTTATCTTTTCAATTTGATCATATCTCATATGTGTGCAAAATAATATTAAATAATTTTTAAAATATTTTTCAGTCTTCCTAAAACAAGTGGCTTAAACCCTGCACCTCCTCCTAAAGACCTAATCAGAAATTTCCTCTTTATTTGATAATGGCCGAATAATTAGCGGTATAAATCAAAGATTCATGATTATTTTTATGGGACCTCTTAGAAATCTTTCATTATTTTGATATTTATATTTAGCATCGGAATTCATAGGGTTTATTAAAACATATGTTAAAATTTTTTATTGTTAAATGAACAATAATTACGAAAAATTCTAAAACAAATATTTTAAGATTAGAACAAAATAACATATATATATATTTAGAGTTAAGAAATGATTGGATCTTTATATAATTAATTCATTACCCAAAATGGAAGTGTATGTTTATAATAGAATAATTATTATAATAACGTTATTTCGCATAAAATAATTTATAAAATACAAATACTTATGATAGGCCTATAAACCCCATGATAAACTTATAGATAAATAGCCAATCTTTGATAGGTTTAATTTATTCCTAACTCTTTTTAGCGAAGAATATTTAGTTCTCTATAGTGAGACCACTTCAATAAAATATAGTAATAAATCTATAAATTATAGGAGGAAAAACTTATTGAAGATGATAAAATGGTTTTTTGGAATAAGACATCACTGTTTAAATAATTCGGCAAAAAAAGAATATATTTAAAAAATATTTAAGTTCGACAATATTATTAATCGCTTTCCTATCCCAATCTGCTATTAAAATATATGGGAAAAAAATTTGCTATAACAATTTAGAGTTGAATAAATTACCTTGAACGTAGTTGATCGCTAATAACAAGCACCAAATAGAATATTTCATATCTTTAAGTTTAAAAAAATGATGCTTGAAATAAATATATATTTTATAAGAAGTTATATATAATAATGTTATTAAGAAATCTGATAATTAAAAATAATTTAGAAAAAATACTAGCCTCAGCCTTATTTATTAATTTTTTTAAAAAACCTATTTTAGTGTATACATTGATATTGTTAATTAATTATCTCAAATTATTTTGTTTAATATAACTTTTTTAAATTATAGTTAATAACCTCTTGTTTTTAAATTAAAAAACTTTTCGTAATAAATAATTAAATATTTGAATCTATATATTTTATTTTATTTAATTTTTAAAATTAAAAAAAAAAAATCTTATTAGCAATTATTATAAAGGCCGATGGAAGAAATTTTGATATTATAGCTATTTTTTAATTTTTGGAATAATAATTATAAAAATGTTATTGAAATATAAGATAAATGCATACAATAATTATGATTGAAGAAAAAATTATATAATTTATAGAAGTTAATTAGTAAAATATAAGTAAGTAAACAAGTTTTCACTGTTGTTAAAAGATACTTTACAAATTTATCAAGGCACCCTAACAGATACAATGATACACTTTTTAGATATATAATTTTTCTGATATACAGTCTTCGATAGTTTAAATGATGTCTTAAAATATCCCCCCTTTAAATACAAAATAAAAATCATTATAATTTTTTATAATCTATCGCAAGATAAATGTAAGTAAAAATTAGCACTGTTAAATAACAATATATAAAAAATAGAAATAGCGCTTTTATATAAAAAATTTTGTTCTTGTTTCGTTAGAATCCATATTATCCTCACCTTTCTCAAAATAACCATTCTTGATATAATATACTTGAAATTGAAAAAGAGAGAAAGAAGAGAGTATTACACAAATAAAAACATAATCCAAAGGTTATACATGTTATCTTATTTTAATAGTAATAAATAAAATCACTAAAATTAAAGCCGTCATTAATAATGGTTTTTGATTTCTTAATTTACCACAAATTTCTAACAATAAATAAAAGATAAATGGTAGTAGTAATAAAAATTTTAGAGAATAGGAGATTTAGGTAATTATAATCTCCATCTAGTAGAAACAGTTCAAAATATTTATTTTACGTTTTTTCAATAAAATGCCTAAGAAAAACTTGGGTTTAAAATAATAAGAGAAGGTTTATCCACAATAAAGCTGATACATAGAGTCTTTTAAATAAATAAAAATATAATAATACCCTTTTATTTATAACATTATTACATTCTTACTTTAATATTAATTACCAAAATCATTTTAATAATATATAATATATATAAATATCATTTTTTTTAAATGTATTTTGTTTATTATAAAACATACAAATATATAGATCTATAAAATGGAATATTGTTAATTAACCAGGCGAAGAAAAATCCCATTCATTAACAAAATTTGTTTGTTAAACTCTACTTCGAATTTATTTTCATAATAATAGTACATAAAATTTATATTTTGATGCATATTAAAAAATAAATAAAATTAATAATCTCGTCTCATAACAATGTTATATTAACTGAAGATTACCTAGAAAAATCAAGATGGTTCAAGTTTGTCTGCACTGGCAATTTTCTTATAATTTGTCAAAATGTAATAAGACATTTATTTTTTTTAATATATATTAACGGAATAAAGTAGCCGAGTTCAATCTATTATATATCACCTCCCACCACCCTCTCAGCATGGAATCACCAAGTTAGATTCAGAAAGAGACATGGCACATGCTGGATTTGGCATAATCAAATCACTCACCGACAAGTCTTAAGACGATATACGCAAACGTCAATTTCTTTTTCATATATCAAAATAAATAAATAAATGATGTGTTTTAAATATATTATGCAAAAATTAAAAAAACAACATGCTAGATTTGTATTACCATTCATTTTTTTAATAGCTACTAGTGTGCTACTTTAAAAAAATAAATAGCGGTAACACTTTACTTCTTTTTTTCAAATAGCGTTAACTGAATGCTCTACTTCCAAAAGTAATTTTTTCCTTATGCTTTTATTGTAATTTTTCCTTATTGAATATTTTCATACTCTAAACGTAGTAAATGCGTTGAAATGTTTGATTGAATAAGTAATGTAAATGAGTAGGAAATGTTATTCACAAATACAGGGAGCTGGCAATTAAGTCAACTTTAGTAGTAAATAGACAAGCTGGTCATTAACCATATCAAGTTTTAGGTTAATAAGTGGATAAACTTTAGATATATATATATCATAATATTTGTGTGTTGAAGAACTTTTTTGTCGCCATACATCATTGAGTGAAAATCAAAGGGTTTACTTCTATGAAATAAATTATTTTATAAGTCTAGTTAGCATAACAGAACTCATTATGATAAGCAAATAATTTTAAATTATAATGTTTTTGATAACATTAACTAATTAAATGATAGTATTTTTCCTAAGCAATAGATTCTGTATAGTGGCCAAGATAGAGTAATAACGTTTTCATGGTTTCCTTTTTAATGATTAATAATTATAATAATAATTTAAAATATGATAAAATTATTCATTTAAAGGAATTATAAAAGTTTTACTAAACCTATCATCAAATTGAGCGCAAAGTAGTAAAACTCTAGAACAATTTACAAAAGTGATTTAATCTTGATGCAAAGCGGGAATATAACATTCATTTCCTGCATATCTAAGAACCGTTTTTGATTTGGGATCACACTTTTATGAAACGCACTTACCAAATCTAATTCTCCGTTTACATTAATAGCGGCAGCATAATTATAAAAACGTGATAAATACGCATATCCATTATTTTCAGTACCTTTAGAAATTAAAAAGAAGAGAATGGAATAAACTTACATTCCTCACAGGGGACCCAAATGAAAAGTCAAACACAGGGAAAAACTAATAGATGTTTGCAAAGGTAAGCGAAAGATGGGCGAGAATATTATTATTTTTTAGGACAAAATGAGCGGGTAGAGATTTGGAATAAGAAAACATGATTATTGCAGATCTTTAGAAAATATCAGCCAAAATATTTAGATCCAACTGTATTTTCAATTCACGGATTTATAATAGTTAAATTTGATATTTTTCTATTTTATCTTAAAGACACGCGCTCATTGAATATTTTTAAGTAAATTTAATTTTAATAAATAAATAACGTTTAATATATAAAACCAAGAAGTCCTATTTTTTAAAAAAATTTGTAGTCTAATGATGTGAGTCTATGGAATGATACAATTAGTTTCATTTTATAGAAGAAGGTAAAATTTTATGGCATGAGAGCAGAATACCTAGCCTTATTGCCCCCATCTCCCCTAATTAATAATTATAAGATTTCATGTGTTAGAATAAACTTTTCAATATTCGAATGACTTAAGTAAATTTAATAAAACCGGATCGAAAAATTTAATTCAATATATTCAAACTATATCTCTTCACATTTTTTGCAGTTGACAAAATAAATATTATTATTATTTCATAGCTATAAAGTGAATGAAGATATATAAAGATGTATTGCTCATTCTTAGATTACTCCTGTGTAAATGCAAGCATAAGATGAAGAATATATTAATTCAAACTTGGATGTAATCATCTAAATTAGAACACATTGAATAAATTTTCAATATTCTTTGATAAAATAGAAATTTTTTTTTATTCTAAATGTTTTAAATCCTCCTCATAAAACATAGAGCTTAGATTTCCATTCTCACTTTGTAATTTATTAAAATTTCGAATCCCTATCTTGAAACATTTCCAGGTTATTGATAAAAAATTAACTGGTTTACCTCAATGCTACTAGAAGATTTTTTTTATTTGAATCAGTAAAAAATAGTATTAATATTTTATTACCTAGAAACTATTCATAGTGTTGAAATATTGTTGGAAATATAAAATATTAGAAAAATCATTAAAAAACAAAAAGATTTAAAGTTTATTATGATTCATTATATGATTCCCAATATAATGTGAACAATTAATTTTTATATTACAAAATGTTATTATTTTTTTTGTGAAAATCCCAATGCCCACATTTATAAATTTTTTTTTTAACTAAAGTAATTGATTATTAATGATTAAGCCAAAGTAATCTAATAGATCTTTGCTGATTGCCAATGCGCTATAAATAATAAAACAATATTTAGATTTTTGAGATAATCATTTTCTATTTTGTTTGCTTTCTTTCTTTCTTTCTTTCTTTCTTTCTTTCTTTCTTTCTTTCTTTCTTTCTTTCTTTCTTTCTTTCTTTCTTTCTTTCTTTCTTTCTTTCTTTCTTTCTTTCTTTCTTTCTTTCTTTCTTTCTTTCTTTCTTTCTCTCATTTCTTTCTTTCTCTCATTTCTTTCTTTTCTCTTTCTTACCAATCCTTCTAATAAAAAGACGGAGCCTTGTTCTTGATGCTATATCTTTTGTAGACAATGTTTCCATTAACATGTGTATCGGTTTGGACGATCAATTGATTAATGTCATTAATCGCCTTTTCATTAATTGTGAATGGTATAGTTCTTACTTTGATAAAATCTTTTAATATATTAAAATAATAATTATATTATATTTTAAAATTTTTTATTGTTTAGTAGTAAACCTTAATGTATTTATTATCAAATTCCACATTTAAAACCTTGATAGCGAAGGACAATATAATGCGGGATATTTATAAGGTATAGCTTAATTTTTTCAAAATATATCTAACTCTCTAAATTTTTATGCCTCTCAATAATGCTATATAAAACATTATTAATTTTTAACCTAAAAACATATTTTTATTAGAACAAAATTTACATAGATGAGTTTAATGATAATATATTTGTCTCAAAAATACATAATATAAAATGCTATTACATAATAAAAGGAGTCTTTTCGTTATTTTATATCAAATAAGGCAGAATAGAAGTAGAGAATAAGATTAAGATGGTCATTTTAATTCAAAAACGGTAAATTTTCATTTAAAAATGACCACTAATATTTATTAGCAATCATATGTTAGTAGCAGTCATATTAATC